CCGCCAGACCCGGAGGCTGTCCTGGAGGGACGGGGTGGGTCCGGCCCCTCCGCTGCCCACGGGGCGTCAGGGCAGGGGGGTGTGCGTCGCCACAAGGCCTGCCCTTCCCGGCGGTGGCTCCGGCCTGGGGAGTGGGTGCTGGGCCGGAGCAGGGCGAGAGAATCCCACGGCTGCTCGTGGAAGTGCACGGACGAGGGCTCGGGGAGCGGTCCGCCAGCCTTCGGTGGGAGCGGCACGTGGGTCTGGAAGCATCGCCAGCGCCCGGCCCCCGGGCTGCCGCTCCGGGGGCTCCTGTCGGGTGGACGCGTCCGCTGTGTTCCGTGCGGCCGGCATCTCGTTGGCGACGTCCACCGTCGTGTGTGGTTGTGATGTGTCACTCTTGGTGCCGGGCAGCGTTCCGCTGTGCAAGGCCACCATCCTGCTAGTACAGCGACTCCTCTTTGTGAGACCGCGGACGCCCGAGTGCCTGTTGTTCAGTGACAGGTGCTCTGCATGGCTCACTTTAATCCTCGCGTGGAGCAGACCTCAGCCGGGCCGGGATCTCAGGCCCTGCCTGGAGGCCCGGCTCCCTCTGCCCTGCACAGCTCGTTCATGCTCCTTTATCCGTTTTCCCAGCTTCTGTGTCTGAAAGGCTCCGCCTGTACCTGGCGTGGTCACTGCTACTCCGATCCCCCTTCAGGGGCAGGTGGGAGGATTGCCATCTGTCCCCTACGTAGGGGGTGGTGGACTCGCCAAGACCAGGGGAACAGATGGGCTGTGGGATGTGCATCACGGAGCAGGACCCAGGCCGCGCTGGGTGGCACAGAGCTGCCGCGGCCCCGCGGATGGTTCCGGAGCACGGCCCGCCCTTCACCGGGCCGGCTGCCGTTCGTACTTTGCTGTACCCTCACTCCTCCCGCTCTGGCAGGGGTGGGCGGTCACTGCCCTTGTTTTACCAAAAACTTACTGGGGTTCAGGGCAAACAGAACTTGATGCACCACAGGCTACTGCCCACCCTTGAGGAAATGAAGCCATCAGGGCAGAGCCCCCAGTGTGGTTGCCCACCCCCTGTCCCAAGTTCTGCCGGCTCCCGGTGACTCTGGCCTGCCCCATCCTGTCCTCTAGGGTTGCTGAGGAACCCGCGTGCTTGTGGGTGGACAGGTCCCCCCTACTGCTCCAGGCAGCCCCCCAGATGGGAGCCTCTCGTGCAGCTTCTCTCCTGGGGCCCCTGCTCTGCCTTGTGGGGGTCTCATGGGAACCTGCTGGCCCTGATCATGACCCTCGAGGGCTCCTCCTCCTCTCAGGTTGAAATTCAAATGGAACTGCTATGACTGGCTACCTGGAGGCCCCTCTCTCCACCCAGGGGCTCAAGCCCGGTCCTACCTACCCTGTCAGGGTGTCGCCCCACAAGGACTCCCGCCAGGGCCCTATGCTGGAAGCCAGTTCCTGCCATGTGGACACAGGAGCCTTCTGCAGGACCCCTCACCCCCACCCCAAGTGAATGACCAAGAACAGCTTCTGCAGGTAAGGGGGCTCCTTCAACTTTTGGGGAGGGACTTCCCGCACAGGGGACCCAAATGCGCACAGGGTGACAAGTCCTCACGCTCAGGCAGACCACTGAGAACTTTAAATTGCTGTCATCTGCTTTATTGACAGGTAAATTGTTCAAAAATGTTCTCACGATTCAATAATTACAAAGACTCAGACTTACATTAAAAAAGTAAAAACCAGAACCCCCAGCAGGTGCCAGCCCCAGCAGAAGGCCCAGGGAGGTGGGCAGGCGGGCAGGTGCTGGGCGTGTGACACGCACAGGCAGGCCGTGGTGCCCACGTCACTCAGTGCCGACTCAAGGTAAGTGCACGTCTTAAACAGCGTCGCCAAGAACGTCGACCAGCGGGAGAGCGGGGAGAAGCCCGTCCTGGGCCAAAGACCAGCTGTGTCTGCTGGCCAGTTAACCATCAGCCTTTAATGGGACAGGCCACAAACCCGATCACTCAACACGTGAGCAAGGAAGGGTGAGAGTAAATACGCGGGCCGAGCCAATGTGCAGGAGTGTGTCGGGCGAGTCTACATGATGCATACGGGCACTAATCACAGGGCTCCATGCAGGGGCGGGGCGTCGGGGGCGCTGGCCTCCTCTCGCCCAGCAGGCCTCGGCCTGGATGCTGCTCGACGCTCCCCGGTTTTGCGGTGAGGCAGAAGCTGTGGAAGTGAGCTGACTTCACAGTAGTAGATACAGGTGACGCTTGACGGTTGTGACCGGGAATGGACTAACACACACAAGGGACCCAGGGCAGGTGTCGCTCACCAGGGGCCTGTGTCCATGGCTACGAGGTCGGCGGAAGGTCGTCTGCAGCTGACTGTGATGGCTAAATGAATAAAAAGGCCACCAACTAACCTCCACTTTCCTGTCTTCACAATTCTAGTGACACTGGGAATGACACACAACTTCCTACTATTCTCCTAAGGTCCTAGGAAACAGTTTCAGGAAATAGGGAACAGGCTCGTCACTGAGGCTGCGTTCCGAGCTGCTTCCTCAGCAGGGCTGCGCTGGGCCCACTGGGTGTCTGCGGGGCCCCGTGGGCCTTCTCAGCTTGTTCTGGGCTGGGTGCTGGTCCTTCATGTGCAAACGGAACAGTGTTTTCTCACAGCTGTGCAGATGAGTGGATCCGGTCTACCGCCACAGCCCATGCGGCATGTAACTGATCATTACTATAATAAAGATTTTTATCTCCATATCTACAAATTGAGTCTATGTTTCCTCGGACAACACTGGAGAGTCAGCTCAGTCTTGGCACTGACAGTGGAGACCACCCCCAGCTCCCAGGCCCCATGGTGGTGAGGCGGCAGGCTGGAGGTTTCAGGCGTCGGAGGCCGGCTGCTCCAGGCCTTCCAGGGGGAGCTGGCTCCTGTGCGGGGAGTTGGGGCTTGGGGGGCCACTGGGGTTGGAGCTGTTCGATGGAGTCGAGTGTTTGGTCGAATCCGAGTCGGGCTGTTAACACAAAGGAGGGGGTCGGCATAAGAACCAATCACCCTGGGCCTGTGGAGGCTGTGTGCCGCCCAGCCAGATGTGGCCATTTGTGGTGCCAAGATGTGGCAGCTGCTGTCCCCTTGTTAGGACAACACACCCTCTTTACCAGCGTGTCACACGGTCCTTAAGGTTGCTGGTAAGAGATCACAACCCCACAAGTAATTCAGTAATTACAGAGGAATGAGCAACTCCACAGTGAAGAAACCAGACGGTCTGAAGTCAGACAAGGCATACTTTCATGATAAACTTTCTCAACACGATAAAGAATGTCCATGAAAAACCCACAGCTCACTTCATACTAAATGGTGCAAGTCAAAAACTTCCCCCCCAAGGTGAGGAACAAGCAAGGATGCCTGCATTCACCACTGCCGTTCAACATTGTACTAGAAGTTCTCGCCAGAGCAATTAGGCAGGAAAAAGAAGAAGGCATCCAAGCTGGAAAGGAAGAAGTTAAACATCTCTGTTCACAGATGAATCTACATACAGAAAATCCCAAAGAACTCACAACTCTCCCACCCAACCCAAACCAATTCAGCAAAGCTGCAGGGTACAAGATCAACACACAAAAAATCAGTTGTGTTTCTACACACCCGCAATGAACAATGTGAAAAGGAAATTAAGAAAACCATTATATTCAAAATAGCATCCAAAGCAGTAACACCTAACTACGAATAAACTTAAACAGGTGAAAGATTTCTACACTGAAACTGTTGGCTACAAAATATTCCCCAAAATTAAAAGATGACCTAAATAAATGGAACAACATTCCACATTCATGGACAGGAAGACTGAACATCATTAAGATGGCAATACTCCCCCATAGTGATCCACAGATTCAGGGAAATCCCTGCTGAAATTCCAATGGCGCGCTCTCCTTTTTTCCAGAAATGGAAAAGCCAGTCCTCAAATTCATACGGAATTGCAAGGGGCCCAGAGTAGTCAATACTAAGGAAAAGATGGGAGGAATCACACTTTCCAAACTTCTTCAAAACATAATACAACAGTAATGCACTGTGGTGTGTATTAGCACAGAGAACAGTGGAATAGAACTGAGAGTCTAGAAATAAATCTATCCAGCCACGGCAAACTGGTTTTTGACCAGGGTGCCAAGACCATTCAATGAGGGAAAGAAAAGTCTCTACAACAAATAGTGCTGGATATTCACATATGAAAGGATGAAGCTGGACCCCCCTACCTCCAACATACAGAAAATTAATTCAAAATAGATCAATGACCTAAATAGAAAAGCTCAAACCATAAAACTCTTAGAAGAAAACACTATTAAATCTTCAAGACTTTGGATTCAGCAATGAATTCTTAGGACCTCAAAAGCACAACCAACAAAACAAAACAAAAAATTGGGTATCACCAAAATTAGAAGTATCAAAGGACATTATCAAGAATGTGAAAACACAACCCACAGAACGGAAGAAAGTATTTCAAAATCATATAAGGGTCTAGTATCCAGATTACATAAAGAATTCTTCAACCCCACAGTGAAAAGCCAACTCAATTTTTAAAAATGGGCAAAAGACTTGAACAGACCTTCCTCCAAAGGTATAGAAGTAGCCAGCAAGTACACAAAAAAGATGCTTACATCACTACTCATTAGGGAAATGCAAATTAAAACCACAATGAGGTAAAGTAACTTCACACCCACTAGGATGGCTTTTAAAAAACAAAACAAAACCAGGAAAGTAGCGACAAGGATGTGGAGAAATCTTAACTTTCATACGCTGCTGGTGGGAGTGTGAAATGGCATACAGTTTCTGTGGAAAACAATTTGATGGTTCCTCAAAAAGCTAAACATTTTCCACTGCTACGTAGGCACTTGCACGAATCCGTGTACACACACATTCATACTGCAGTATTTTTTTAAAATTTTTAATGTTTATTTTTGAAAGAGAGCATGAGTGGGGGAGGGGCAGAGAAAGGGAGATAGAATCCGAAGCAGGCTCCAGGCTCCGAGCTGTCAGCACAGAGCCCGACACAGGGCTTGAACTCACGGACCCTGAGATCATGACCTGAGCGGAAGTCAGACGCTCAACCGACTGAGCCACCCAGGCGCCCCTATTCTTTACAGCCAAAAGGTGAACGCAGCCCACATGTCCATCAGTGGACCAAGGAGTACATGAAACACGGTACAGCTGTACGATGGAGTATTTGGCAACAAAAAGGAACAACCCGCTGACACCTGCTACAACGAATCTCGAAGACCTCTTGCTCCATGAAATAAGCCAGACATGAAAGGCCATGTAGTACACGATTCTGTTCATACGAAATGTCCACAACAGGTGACTCCACAGAGACAGAACAAAGATTCGTGGCTGCCACAGGCTGGGGGAAGGGTGGGACGGGGAGAGGCTGCTTAGTC